GGACCAGCAGTTAGCATAATGGCTAGGTCACTGGACTCCCACGTAGTCGACCGCGGTTCGAGTCCTGGACCCGGTGGCTTAAACTCACGCCGGGCGCATGTGCGTGTGTGCCCAAGATCACTAGAGGAGAATGGGGGAGCAGGGATTCCAGCATGACCATCCCCCCGGGGGGTGATTTCTCTCTGTCTGTCTGTCTGTCTGTCGAGCGCACGCGCCCTACGGCAAAAACTTCTCCAAAAAAAAAAGAAAAAAGAACCTCGCTACTGCCCATGAAGAGGTGGAGTTCAGTCTTTTCCTCCTGAACCTGGGTGGAACTAGGTGACAGCGTTGACAATTAGGATGCCCTGGGAATGACTGTGTGGCTTCTGGGGCTATGCGCCACATGGCCAGACTCCCACTTCGCTTGTGCTGTCTCTCGGAATGACTGCCCTGGAAACCGAGCCACCCACAGTGCAGGTACTGAGTGCGGTCACACAGCTGTGCGACCATCGCCTCTGTAATTCCAGGACATCCGCATCGCCCCTAAAACCCTGTACCATTCAGTTCCCTCCTTCCTCAGGTGTGCCAGCACTCGTCTACTTTTTGTCTCTCTAGACTTGCCAGTTTCCTGGGCGTTTCATATCACAGGAATCATACAGTAAGTGGCATTTTCTGTGTGGCTTCTTGCACTGAGCACCATGTCTTTGAGGTTCACCACCCTGTAGCATGTTCCTTTTCCTGGCCAAATGATATTCCATTGCAGGACTATTTCAGTTTTGGTTTATCCACTCATCAGTTGATACATATTCTGGTTGTTTCCACTTTTTGGTTATTGGGAACATTCACAGAAATAAATATTCATGTACAAGTTTTTATGTGGGCATGTTTTTTAATTCTCTTGGGTTCAAATATATTTAAATTAACTAAATCTTTTTTTTTTTTGGAGAGGTTTTTATGTGGTTGCCAGAAAGACAGAGAGAGACAGAGAGACAGAAAGCGAGAAATCACTCCCCAGGAGGGATGGCCACACCGCAATCCCTTCGCCTCCATTCTCCTCTCAGGATCTTGGGAACACACACACATGCGCCCGGCATGAACTTAAACCTCTGGGTCTGGGACTCAAACCGAGTCAAATACATGGGAGTCTAGCGACATAGCCATTATACCAACTGCTGGTCCCAAATTAATTAAATCTTAAATGATAAATACATAACACGTAATGATCCTGAATAATAATAATGTAAAATTTCAAATAAATCTTTTTTATTTTTATTTTTTTAGGTTTTGCCATTGGGTGCATGTGCTAGCCAGAGAGACAGAGAGAGAGAAAGTGAGAAATCACCCCTCCCACACAGGGGTTGGGGGGCGACAGCCATGCCGCAATCCTTTCTCCTCCTAGGATTTTGGGCATGTACTCACATGCATGAGTTGCAAATTGCTGGATCCAGGACTCGAACCATGATCAGCCATGTGTCAAATTGCTGGATCCAGGACTCGAACCATGGTCAGCCATGTGGGAGTCCAGTCCCTTAACTACTATGCCACTTGCTGGACCCTAAAATAATTCTTATTCATGCAAGCAAGATTCCTGAGAGCCAAAATTTGCTTCTTTATGGTAATTCAGATTTAAGAAGGGCCACTGAGTAGAATAAAACTATTCAAACCCCAATTTTTCACTAGTTGACAAAGGTCCTTTACCAAAACAGTCTGAATTAATTAGATACCACAAAGAGCAGAGAGGAAAAGGGATTGCTAAATGGCCATCCCCCTGGGGGGTAGGGTGATCTCTTACTTTCCCTCTCACCATCTCTGTCTCTCTCTCCCTCTAGCGAGTACATGCGCCATAAGGAAAAAACCTCTCAAAGAAAAAAAGTAACACTATTATGTGATCCTCTAGAGGAAAAAACCTCTCAAAGAAAAAAAAGTAACACTATTATGTGATCCTCTAGAATTCCTCTCTTCATAATTCAAAAACTCTAACATTGTGGGGCCGGCAAGTGGCATGATGGTTAAAGGCGCTGGACTCCCACATGTCCGACCACGGTTCAAGTCTCGGACCTGGTGGCTTGCTTTCTCACTTCCTCTCTTTCTGTCTCTCTCTATCAAACTGGAAAATAATAATGATAATAACAATAAATAAAGTTAAAATAATTCTTTTTAAAAAAATCTAACATTGTAAAACTGGTAGAGGGGAAGGACTTGAACCGGTTCAGGAATTTGGGGTCCGAATTAGACTCCTTATGTACAAAAACCTGTGCTGAGCTGTGACTTACCTATTTGAATTTATTTAATACATATGACAGAGGCTAACAGGTAGTAGATAATAAAAGCTCAATAAGATAGGCTGATTTTCTTTTTTTAAATTCTGGATTACACGAAAACCCGGTTACATAGGAATTCAGACACCTACTCAGAACCTCCTCCGGCAGCTGGTCATGCAGATTAAAGCTCAGTTGCAAGGCCCCGCGTCCTCAGATACCAGTGTCTCCAGGAAGGTCCCACTTTCCCCCCAGTGCCGGCTGCTGATGTCTCCAGTGAGCCTCGTCAGTCTTCCTAAGCTTGCCCGTAGGCCTCACATCAATTCGGTAAGAACACAATGACGTGCTTCTTTGGGGCAACGGCTGTAGAGACCACTTGTGGAGATGAAACCACGCTAATGAGAAAGTGTAGATGTTTTTTGCCGATGGAAAATTACAAGCTTGCTTGGTCTCAATGCTTGGCACCGAGTCTTGGGTTTCTCGGCATTGAACAGACTTCTTTCCATTCGGCTTTCTCTCGGCCAGCACCCTGGCACACCATCAGAGGGAAATAATTAGAAAGAAGTGTCTTATAGGGATGGGAGCACTGGTCGCTTACCAGCTGGGAATAAGAATGGGCCCTCAAACCCTGGAGCAGACAGTGGCTGTCCTGCCCACACAGAGCAAAGTGGTGGAGGGGTTACGCCTCTGCAAACACATGTGCACCGAGAGCTGGAGGGCTGCTCAGTCTTCCTCCTTTTCCGGGGAGCCTTCTGGTTGGTCTTCAGCACATTAGCAGTGACACAACTGCAGTTAGCCCTACAGAGTCTTCTAAGAGTTCCCTCCTTTCCTCAGAGTTCTTGTTGCTGTGGAGGGAAGAGGCCTGTCGCATGTTTGGTTTACTCCTGACTGCAGTTACGAGAGTGCAGAGCGGGGACTGGGAATTGGCTTTATTATTTTTGTAAAAACAATTCCTGCTCATTGTAAAAGTACCAAGTATAGGGCCAGTAGGTGGCATGGTAGGTAAGGGCTGGATCCTACACGGCCAACTGTGCGGTTTGAGTCCCGGACCTGGCGGCTAGGAAAATCACACCGGGTGCGAGTGTGTGCTCAAAATCCCAAGAGGAGAATGGAGAAGGGATTGTGGCATTTGGCCATTCCCCCAAGGGGTGGGCTCTCATTCTCTCTCTCTCTCTCTCTCTCTCTCTGCTTCTGTCGACCACATGTGCCCTATAGCAAAAACTTAAAAAAAAAAGGAAAGGAAATAATGCCAAGTATAGCTAAATGGCTTTCAAAGCACGTGACACCTTATCTTTCAGAGGTAACAAGTGCAGCACTGAGCAGCTAGCAGCAGCTAGCACTGAGCACTAGTCACCTCTCTGTTAGATATGTACAACGTATGCATGCATGGGCTGGCCCTGTAGTCTAGTGGTTCAGGGGGCTGGATCCCACATGGAATGAGGGCAGGTTGCCCCGACGTGACGTTCAAAGTAAAACCCCAAAAGGGGAGGAGAGGTATATCGTTCACGGTAATTTTGGCAAAGAATCTTCTAGAAGAGGAAATAGCAAGAGTAAGGGCCCTCCCCTGGCAGGAATGTGCCGGGGTGTGTGAGGAACAGCAAGGCCCATGCGGCTGAGCAGAGTAGGCCAGGAGACAGCGGGAGGGCAGGCCCGGCAGACAGAACCCGCTGACCACTACATGCGGCAAGATCCTATCTGGTGTGAGACTCTCCAGCGTGGGGTAGGGTGAGCGTAACCAGCTGGCTGGGCTGCTCTGCTGAGAGCCACTGCAGAGGGGTGAGGGCAGCCAGGAAGGGACTGCAATACTCTGAGCTGGTAGCAATGGAATGAGGAAAACAATCAAGTTTAGGATGTCTATTACGCACCTGTGTAAAAAGTTGAACAGAGAGTCCCCAGTTGAGGGGAGGCCCAGTCTGGATGTATGTGGAGAGTTCGGCAGCATGCAGGCTGTATGAGCCACGAGGGTGTTTGAGATACTCAAGGGAGCAAGCAGGTGGCCGACCAGAATTTCAGTCCTGATCCTGCCGTCTTATAAAACATGCTGAGCACACAAGTGTGCCCAGGGTCCCGACAGGATGACAACTGGAGGAAACAGGACTGTAGCATGACTAGGTCCTGTTGGAGGGTGCTTTCTCTCTCTCATGCACACGAACATGCCCTCCAGCATAAAAAAAATTGTTTTGGTAAAGAATTATTTTACTTTTATTTATTCATTCATTTATTTTAATTTGACCAGACACACACACACACACACACACAACTAGAGAGGGAAAGTGAGAAAGCAAGCCACCAGGTCCAGGACTTGAACCGTGGTCAGCCATGTGGGAATGTCTAGCACCTTAATCACCATGCCACCTTCTGGACCAAAAAAATTTTTTTTGTTTGAGGTGCTAGATGGTAGCATACCAGTCAAGCACTGTGATTCTAGACTCCTCCCTGGGCCCCTAGTCAAGGATGTAGTTAGTATGGAACAGCTGCTGCTCTCAAGGGAAGCACTGGGGATGTCCTAGGCAGACCCTACTCTGCAGGGAGCCTCTGCACACAGGGAAGACCCAGGCCAGCTGTCTTGAATAGTCACTGTTAGAAATCGGCAAAGGTTTGAGTCAAGTCAGAGAAGTCTATGACACGGGGCCAGCTCCGTGGGGCAGCAGTGACACACTGCTCAAGAGAAGATGGATTCCACACGGTGACCACAGTTCAAATTCCCGTCCCAGGAGCCTGAAACACACTGAGCACATATGTGCAGCCCAGGCCTGGGGGAGGGGGACAGCAGTGTGACAAAACCCTGTGGAAGGTGTTTCTTTCTCTCATACTCCATAAAAAAAAAAAAAAAATTAAAACAAACGGCTGGCTCTGTGGCCTGGTGATGAAGGCAGCGGGAGACCGCACAGCCAACTGCATATCCAAATCCCAGCCCCTGGTACCCTGAAAAGCACACTGGGCACATGTGCATGCATGCCTAAGATCCTGATGCGGAGGGAAAATGGAGACGGGATCGCGCTGTGACCACACCCTACTGAGGGGGGTGCTTTCTCCCTCTCCCCATCTCTGGCAGGCACACATGCCCTCTGGCAAAACAAAAAGCAGAATTAAAATAAAAGTCTGTGACACAAAGCAATCTGTTCCTACCAGCTCTCAGCCCAGCATACTGTGCTGCAGGCAACTTTGGAGTGTAAAAACCACTCCGTTCCACACAGCCTGGAACGGTTCTCGGGGCCTGCGTGCTCCACAGCTGAAACGCTAGGCGATTACTGCATCAGGAGCAAACACGGCAGACGAAGGCAGTGCCTCCCGTGAAATGACTGTAATTAACTCCGAATGTTTCTCCACGCTTTATTTTGCTGGCTGGAGTTGTCCTTTTGCTGTCAGAACAAGCCTACCCCACACCTCAGATGTTCTTCCTCTAACTTGTCATTCCGAGCAGAAGCACGACTCCGTCACCTGTCTGGGCACATACCGAGCATCTGTCTGGACGGTGTCAGCACGTCCTGCACGCTCAGCAGCAACCCTGAAAATAACGTCTGCTGCCTGCCAGGCTACTGGCTGCCAGCCTCGTGATCTTCAAGGGCACTGACACATTCAGTCATGCCCCTCTGTAAGCGCGGAGAACTGCACTTAGATGCCTTTCAATGAACAGGGAAAACAAGGAGAACGACAAACTCAGAGCCATCCTGTGGATGTATGCTTATTCCCGTTTCTGGGTAGGTCTACAAACAGCCTGAACTTGGGCCTCTGGTCCTACCACTGGACCCTGAGCCACAGAAACCACAGGCGAGGGATGCTCATCCAGGGAGAGCTACTCCACTCACTGGTGCTCAGCCATCCAGAGGCCCAGGGAAATGTTTCTGGTAACCCAAAGTTTTAGAGTTTTAGAATGGTGTGATCTGGTTGTATGTTCTGCATCTCCTGCAGTGCATGGCCTTTACCCTGGGGTGCCCCTCCAGCACGATAGTGCCTCAAGCCACATACAACACCAAGAAAGCCACCAACCCTGTCTCCCCCTTCTCCTGCCCCAAGTGATGGCCAATGCAGCCAGTGGATCAATAGGCAGGGTTTTCTTCTACCTGGTGGCTGAGCTCAAAGTTGCTGTATTCTTGGGAAACACGGCAGTCAACAGCACTTATGCCAAATCCCACTCCCCGAGGGACGCTGTTTTAGTCTGTGATGAGGTGGGTGCTTCCAGGCGTAGGCGCCCCTGCACAATTTGACCGTCCGAGTACCACCTCGCCTTCTCCCCTCAGCCAGTCCGGGCGTGCTGTCCGAGGACCCCTGCTCAGTAGGCTATGTAGTAGTGCTCCATTGTGCTGATGATGTCACTCTGGTCCTCCAGGAGCTCCAGAACTTGGCGCAGGACGGCCTCACTCAGGCCCGGGCAGACGCTCAGACGAGCGCAGGCCAAGATGTGCAGGAAGTGGCAGCCCTTCTCCATATCTGCAGAAGAAAAGCAGGTGGCTGAGCCTGGACATGACTGTCATACCCTCCTCATCCTCTCCCTCTCTGTACCTCCTAAATCAGCCCCTGCATTTGGACGAGATCCCTAGATAATGTTTATGCACATCACAGTTTGAGGGGTTGGGGATGGCCTTGCAGTGTTCTGGCTAAGCATGCACAGAGAAGCCAGGTTCCACATGGCTGACCGGAATTTGAGTCTTAGCCCCGGTGGCTTACACACCAGGCATTTGCACACCTGCCCAGGATCCTGACAGATGGAGAACTGGAGGGAAAATGATTGCAGCATAAATGGGCCTTGCTGGGGGTGCTTTCTCTCTCTCTCTCTCTCTTTCATGTACATAAACATGCCCCCTAGAACACACAAAAATAAATCCGAAAGTTTGAGGGGCCAGAAAACAATACAGCAGTAAAACATGGTGCTGTGTGAGGCTGACCCACATGGGGGTGGGGGGTTCTGGGTTCGTATCCAGACCTCCCTGAGTGTGCTGGGCACATATGTGTGCCCATGATCAAGGGCTAGCTGAACCTGGGGGTGGGCTGGTGAAATCGCTGTTGGGTGTCTCTCTCTCTTTCTTTGTCTCCCTTGCTTATGAAATACATAAATGAATAAACTTAAGGGTAAAAAAGATTGAGATGTTCTCTAGATGAGCACAGAAAGAACACAAAAACCTGTCCTAGGCTCCTTCTGTCACCACAGCAGCATGGGCCTGCAGCCTTCAAGGATTCTCAATCGATGATTTGTATCTATAACCTAATGAGGTTTTAGCGCTTGATAAACCTTTTTCTCTAATGCAATGACATGTGTAAGTACACATATTCGGTGCTAAACCTCCAGTTTCCTAAGTGGGATCCCTCTTGAGACTCACAGCAAAGCCATTTTGCAGCAGCCTCCATTTTCTTTCCTGTAAGTCCTGATTTGAGGGGCTGCCATGGTGAGAAGGGATTCCCACCTTAGCCTGTTCTCATCCCTCTTGGCCTGGCTTCTAACAAGTCTTGTCTGTGAGAGCTGTGTTCTAGTAAGCTCTTACTCTCTACCCCCACTAAGACCATTTGGTATAGAAAAATAACACTGTGGGGTTAGTCATTTCTTTCCTGGTTGATATCAGTGATTTAGAACAGTGGTACTCACACTGAGGGCTGTGACCATCAGGGCATCAGATCATGTTCTTGTTTTTTTTCTTTTCCTAGAGAGAATTTTGCTTTAGGGCATATGTGCTCACCAGAGAGAAAAGAGAGACAGAAAGTGAGAAATCACTCCCTGGGGGGGTGGCCACATCGTGAGCCTTTCTCTTCCATTCTCCTTTTGGGATCCTAGGGACACATGCACAAGAACTTGGCATGAGTTTCAAGCCACCAGGTCTGGGACTTGAACCATGGTTGGCCATGGTGGGAGTCCAGCAGTGACATAACCATTATGCCATCTGCTGGTCTCCATGAGATCATTTTTTAAATTATTTTTTATTTTTAGTTTGCTATATGGTGGTGGGAGAGAAAGAGGGGGGAAAGAGAGAGAGAGAGAGAGAAATCACCGCTCAGGTCGGGAAGGAGGGCCACACTGCAATCCCTTCTCCTCCACTCTCTTCTTGGGATTTGGGGCACACACACACACACACACACACATGCACACACATACACCCATGAAGTTGGCCTTGTGGAATCCAGCACCTTAACCTCCACACCACTGGCCTAAGTTTTCATGGGTTGTGATTAGCATTCTTTTTCTTACCAAACAGCCTAAAATAGGAAATTACAGAATGTACTGTATTATAAGTAGGATAAATATTATTTTGTGGAATTTTACTTCATAGCGATCTAATGCATTAAAATAAGAGTAGGTAGGCTTGGTCTCTTGATGTCATATACCCAACACCTGGCACACACAAGCTGCTCCACACAATCACTGAATGTTTTGCAGTAGAATGATAGGATGTATTGGGTCATGATGTCAAATGTGTTGCGGAGTCAAAGCCCAACCTCATTACTGAGGGAGTGCTCTATACCCCGAGCTCTCCTCTCTCCTCTCTTCCCACCTCCCTGAGACCTGGCTGCTGGACCTTATGAGCACCCCACAGATTTGGCTCGTGGCGGGGGCTGTTCTGCAGGACTGTGCACCCCTCCCACAGTACCATCACAAGATAAGGGGCACCAAACCCTAAACATACTCTGCTGAGTCTGTTCATCGATAAGCTGCCTCTCAGTAACCTTCAAGCAGTGTATGTACAAACCAGCCCCTCGTCTTGGTGACAGGGACTCTAAGTGATCTCAGCTGATTTATGAATGCCTTGTTCTTATGAGGAAGCCTGAGCCTATGCTCATGAGGCAGGGATCGCCCTCTACCCAGCTGTCTGCAGAGCATCCTGTCCCGCTTCCAGAAGTCGGAAACTCATGGCTCCCCCTGCTGGACCACCAGGTATGTTCTGTGGAGTCAGTAGACATTATCCGCCAGCCCTCTGATTCGGAGCTTCTCCAGAACGACGACTAAAACCAAGCCTTCCCCATTTTTCACACTTTTAAGCTTCATGGCAAGAGTAGGCTTGGTCTCTTGATGTCATATACCCAGCACGTGGCACACGCAGCTGCTCTACACCATCACTAAATGCTTGCTTTCGCTAGAGGATGCATGTGCTCGCCAGAGAGACGCAGACACACAGGGGTGGAGAGGAAGCACCCCCATGGGGCATGGTCAAGCCACAATCCTTCTCCTCCACTTCTCTAACTTGTCAGGATGTTGGGCACACATATACACATGCTCAGCGTGTTTTCCAAGCTGCTGGGTCTAGGGTTCAAACCCAATGATCAGCCACGCAGGAGCTGGCTGCCTTAACCAGCAGGCCACAGAGCCAGCCTGTGTCACTGAATGTTGTTTTTGGATGAAAAAAAAAATGCTTTAAGCTCCAATAAGGTACTCAAAGAGGTAATGTGGGATTGGGCAAGGCACAGTCTGAGATGCAGTGCACTTCTGTGGCCTTGGGGAAGTCACAGCCCCCTTGAGCCTCAGTTTCCCTACTCTTCAGCACTGAGAGGTTCTTAGATCGGGCTGGGCTGATGAGAGATTGGATAATTCTGACCTCTAGTGGCTGCCTGAACTCACCGCTCCTGACTGGGGCTCTCTTGAAGATGTCCTACCTATCTGCGTGTCGCACTGAGCAGGGGGGAGTGAGCAGACGGTAGACACAGAGCTGACTTGAGTCCACCAGATTTGAGTTCAAGTCCTGGCTCTACAACGGGGGCAAAGTGGCTTGTGGGAATAAAACCACCTCCTTCCCAGGGTGGCTGTGTGGATGAAAGAGACCACAGTAGCGGCTTCCTACATGGGGAACTACTATGATCCTGCCACCATATCCATAACCTAGGAAGAGGTATGGAACCAGGTCCCTGCTCCAAGGAGGCTTTCTTTTTTGAGAAAAGAAGACACAGACTCACAGGGAGTATAAGCTAGAGAGCAAGCGATGGCAGGATGGCATGGATGATGGGGAGCGGAGGACTCTAAGCATCCAGGCCCGCACACAACAGAGGAGCACCCAGAATTCAGCATGCTGGGCTTTTTTTTTTCTTTTCTTTCTTTTTTTTTTTTTTTTAAGGTTTTTTCTTGGGGTATGTGTTCATGCCAGAGAAAGACACAGAGGGAGTATAAGCTAGAGAGCAAGCGATGGCAGGATGGCATGGATGATGGGGAGCGGAGGACTCTAAGCATCCAGGCCCGCACACAACAGAGGAGCACCCAGAATTCAGCATGCTGGGCTTTTTTTTTTCTTTTCTTTCTTTTTTTTTTTTTTTTAAGGTTTTTTCTTGGGGTATGTGTTCATGCCAGAGAAAGACACAGAGAGGGAAAGTGGCGTATGTGTTCATGCCAGAGAAAGACACAGAGAGGGAAAGTGAGAAATCATCCCCCGGGGCATGGCCACGCCACAATCACTTCTGCATTCTCCTCGCAGGATTTTGGCCACATGTGCGCATGTGCCTAGCTGATTTTCAAGTTGCCGAGTCAGAACGCAAACCATGGGAGTCCAGCGCCTTAACCACTACACCATTTGCTGGTCCCCCACTGGCTTTTAACATCAGCTGTTGCGGGGTCTGATGCTTGGGCTCTGGGCTCAAGATGACTTACAGGCATATGGAGGCCCTACACAGCCATGCTGGCTGTCCTGGGGGCCTTAAACTACTTCTTAGAAAGGACATTCTGCTCTGTCTGTTGAAGCTGACAGGTGACCTTCCCAGCACATGTGGAACACGAACATAGACTTTTCATATGAGAAATTCAGAAAAGCACTTCCCCTGCAGTCAGCACGACGGCATCATTTGACCCCTCACGGGATAACCCACGAGCCAAGCAGACTTTTCTGAAAGGTGTTCCTCTGGCCATCGCTGAGAGCAGCGGTAACCTTCTTGGCCTCGTATTTTTCCACGTACTTTTACAGTCGCCTCATTTATAGTTTCTTCACCAGAAACCAAAAACAGCTGATGTGCTAAAGACCTGAATCACATGAAAATAAATTTCAGGTATAAGCTACTAACTAGAAAGGTTAGGAAAAATCACTTTAAGAATTTTTAAAAAAGATTATGAGTTTATAAAAAAATTACTCCATTATGAGTAGGGTCAGATGGTATCTGTTTCCACAACAAGGAGTTGTATTATTCAAGGCATAGACAAGTCTGGGCTAGACGCATGTGAGCTTTTTGAAAACCTAACGGCACAAAGTAACCATCTAAAAATGCTGCCACTTTAGAACTCATCGAATGCTCATTTTCTTAGGTTAAAAATGATATGATGATCATATAGGAGAATGTTCCTATACTTAGAAAATACAAGCTTTGGGTCAGCTCCTTGGCCTGGTGGTTAAGGTAGCTGGATCCCACATGGCCGACCTTGTGGTTCAAGTCCTGGACCTAGTGGCTTGAGATACACGCCCAGTACATGTGGGTCCTAGGCTAATCCTGACAGGAGGCAGAGATGGAGAAGGGACTGAGGTGTGAACATT